GAGCGGGCCGGGAGGGGTTGAAGGATGTGTTGAAGGCACACCCGGGACGGCGGGACTACCGTCACCTTTGCGCGGACTGGCGGTTCTTCTCCGCCACATTAAAGATGCAACAAAACCGGCATGTGCTGCCTCCTGCTCCGCTGCATTTCTCAGTCCGGAATACCGAGAGTTCAGGCGGTGGGAATCGGCCTGGCAGAGCCGATACCGCCTGCCTGAGTTGGTCACAACGGGGCTTCAGAATTTGCACCCTAGAATTAGTTATATTACCAGAATTTATTAGCTATATTCCTAGAAATTTTTAGCTGCGTTACTTATCTGCTTGGGAAGAGGCGGTTCAAACCATAGATAGAGGTGTGCAGCAGTGGGTGATAAAAGGAATGCTGAGGAAACGTGGGCCCTCTGCAGGGGAATGGGGCACCTGGGGTAGGGAGAATGCTGAGGTGTGCACTGGGTTTTTTGCCTCAGTCTGCACTGGCAGGTGTTCAAGCACCCCGGCAGAGTTGCAGAAGGAAAGTAAGGGTGAGGAGAATGAACCACCTCGTGCAGGAGAAGATGGGGTTTGAGGCTGTCTAGGGGACCTGGGTGTAGCCATGATATTTTCTGAAAAATCCTTTCCTTAGGACTTTTCCTCCTAAGAAGCTGAGAAACCTCAGGAACAAAATGTAAACAATGATTATCTGCTGCTGTGGAATGCAACAGGTGCATCTGTGATTGGTCTTATAGAGTTGTTTCTAATTAATGGCCAGTCACAGTCATCTGGCTCAGAGTCTCTGTCTGAGCCCCAAACCTTTGTTATCATTCCTTCTTTTTCTATTCTTAGCTAGCCTTCTGATGAAATCCTTTCTTCTACTCTTTTAGTATAGTTTTAATATATATCATAAAATAATAAATCAAGCCTTCTGAAACATGGAGTCATCCTCGTCTCTTCCCTCATCCTCAGACCCCTGTGAACACGGTCACACCTAGGGGTGCACATGTCCATAGGACATGATGAGATGCTTTCACAGGACCTGAGGGGATGGTTGGATAAAATGTCTAAGCCACCCTCCGTCATGTTTAAGGAGCTGTGGCAGTCTGGTGAGGTTCCCATTGACTGGAAAAGGGGCTCAGTTGGTCATTGGTTGAGACAATGGCAAGCACTATTATTAAAATCTTTGCCATTCTGTGTTGGAAGCAATATGTAGAGGTGATAATACAACGGGAATATCAATAAATGGAAATATTGTGCAGACTTAGAAAAGCTTAGATTATTAGCTCTCCAAATAATACAAGAGTAATTCTGACACACTGTATCTCAAAAGCCAGCCATTGTCCTGTAATGAGCCTGGTAATGTTCTCCATGCACCGCTTTCACACTCAGCTGAAATTCCTGTTCTCTAGCACTCTCTATTCCTATTTAAGTGCTAACAAAAACAATGACTATGGCAAGTTCTTCCTTGCTGTAGGTTCAGGTAAACACCCAGCTGGAGCAGATGGGTTGATTCCTTTGTGCTGGAAGGAGCCAGTGGCTTCAGAAAATCCCTTTTTCTTCCCTTGTTGGCTCCCAACAACCCCCTGCCATGCTACAGGCTGGGAGAAGAGTGGCTGGAAAGCTGCCTGGGCCCTTGATGACACAGAAGACACTGAGGTGCTGCAGCATGTCCGGGGAAGGGTGATGGAACTGGTGAAGGATCAGGAATTTACTTCTTGGAAGTCCCTGAGATGCTGTGTTTTGTTAGCAACAATGAGCCAGTTAATTCTGTTACAGAGGTAATTTTTGCCATTTTGTTCTTTATTCATGTCTGCTGTACTTATGCTTTCATTTCACAGCGACAGCCTGTGGCTGCTGGGATGGTGAACCAGCCTAAAGCTCCACAACATCAGCACAAGCTTTATCATCCACCTCCTCCAGCTCCTGTCCAGTAAATTCCCTGGGACTGGGATAATTTGTGGTGGCAGATGCTCTGGCTGTGCCCACTGCCTTCCAGAGCACACCTCATACCAATACACCTCTTGTTTTATTATTGCTTATGCTGTACTCTGAGGGTTTTTTCTTTATGAGGGGTGGGAAAAGGATTTGCTCTCAATGTACATCTGAGGGGTAGCCTGGCTCTGTGGTGTCTGTAGGCAAGAGGACAGCTGGTATTTTCTGCAGTTCTTAATCCCTCTGCAACTTTTATCTCTCAGATTAGTTAGAGCATTTGAACCAATAGTTTTCCTTTTCCTTTGATGTGGTTTGTCACCCTCCCTCACATTTATTTTATTTCATTTGATCTTATTTTTCAGTATATCTATTTTTTTTAATCTTATCATCTTTTTCAGCTGAAAATTAACTTGTTCCCTGTTTTCTCACCTCTCTCCACCCAGGGGTATTTGGTGCTTGTGTGTTCCTTTCTTCTCTCTTTCTCTGCTGTAATTGGTTGTTTAATTTTGTTTCTTTTTCATGGACCTCTCTATGTGTCCTCTGATAGGTGCATATCTGTTTTTAATTGGTCTTTGTGCCATATTGTTCTTTTTTTAGATTTAATATCCATCCTTCAAACACCAGACCAATTAACATGGAATATGCTTTCATATTTTTCCATGCTAAATAATTTTTTTGACTTTCCAATGACCCAGGGGTTTGCAAACTATGGTGGTGACAGCTGCTTTTGTCCTTGATTTTAGACTCTATCAAATTCAGTTTTAATACTGGATTTTTCTAAGACAACCCCAAATCCCAAATCAACTATAAAAATCCTCTTTCTTTTAAAAATACTATTGTGACAATGTTATTATTTGTGGCTTGTTAGCTTTCAGCAATTACTCTTTTTTTACACAGCTTTTTTAGACATGACAGTATCCTAAGTCCAAAATCTCTCCATTCTCCACAAACAGTCATGCACAGAGTTAATTTGCAAATAAGATAAAAGTATTGGGAAGAAAGTTCTGCATCTCCCATGAAATTTAAGTAATTACACAATGTGTATTGGTACATGGGATCTTTTCCCCAAAGCTTATGGGTTGGCATCACTCACTAACCAAGTATTTGCTTGTGACATAACTGAGAAAAATTTTGTGACTATTTTGCCACCCTGGCATAATGTAATGGTCAAATTATTCTTTCTGAGAACCATTCACTTAAAAGATTAAGGCAAAACCAAGGATCTCTCTTGGCTGTATAATGGGATACCAGTAATGTCACCAGGGAAAGTAGGAAGTGTTCAGGACTAAATCCCATTAGGAGACAGGCTAAGCCTAAGTACAAGAAATGTGGATGCAGTTAGAGATGATTAAGGTGCTTAGTCTTTCCATTATAAATCATCAATCTTTAGGTGTGATTGTCTTCCTATAAATCATAAAGCAATTTATATTAGCCTTGTAAGCAAATTATTTTTTCAGGAATTTTGAAAGCATTTTCACACAAGGAGATCCAGAACTGATAGTAAAGGCTTAGCTTCTATTATGATAAATAAAGAATAGTCATGAAAGAATCATTATTTTCATGGCAATGTACTTGCAAAAATAACACAGATTAAAACAAAAACTAACAAGACATAATAATGAGAATAAGAATGGGTTTTATTCTAATTCAGTTGTTCAGAATGAATCCTTTATCCTGGCTGACTGGATGATGCTGATGGAAAAGAGAAAACCCTTCTGCTTGCAGAATGTAAAAGTAAATATGAAAGCTGAAACTCCCCTGCTTGCCAGTGCAGGTGTATAAACTTCCTGGTGGTTTGAAGGAAATCACTTGGACAGTTCAGGGAACTGCTATGTGAAATTCAATATAAAATGCTGGTATGAAAGGCCTGGGGGGAGCCTGGGGAGCACCCACAGTTCTCTGGGCAGTGGTTGATGTCACTTCCAGTGGCAGGCACCCCTCCACTTGTATTTTCCTCCTTGCTCTTCACTAAACCCATGGCTCCTTTGCCCTTCGCTATTCTCAGGTAGATGCAGATATAATCAAATTCAACCCATGCATTATTGTGGGATGTCATTCCCAAAGAAAGGTAACATTTCCTAGAAACCTCAATTCTCTCTATGTCAATTGAACATCAAATCACCTGGGGTCTTGGAAACTATTAAAAGCATTTCCCAGTCAGGTTACTTAACTGGAGTAATTTTGAAGTCACTCATTAGTGGCACCGTTGTCTTTTGTGTCCCCCAGGAGGAGTGCCAGGCTGGCACATCATGGGTGAGGTGCTCACTGAAGTTTCCACTTCATGCCTGAATTTTCACCCACTATTTGATTCCTATTCTTTCAGAGAGGATCCTCATTCCATT